TCCCCCTCCCCGACCCAGGGACAGCAGCCCAGCCAGTGAGCCAGGGCCACATAGCGCTCAGATCCAAGCCCTGGCATGGCCATAGAGCAGTGGTTCCCAACCTTTACCAGATGGGGACCCATTCTGACAAGTCAGGAAGACTTGGTGACCCAGGGCAATTCAAAAAACGTGTGAATGGCTCCTTAAGAGCCACCTGGCGACCCATATTTGGGTCCCGACCAACAGTTTGGGAAACCCTGCCATAGAGCCTGGACCCTCACAGCCCTCACTCCTGGGCAGCAGCACGGCCACAGAGCCTGGGCCAGCCCCTTCACAGCAGACTTACCTCGGTGGAAGGTGACTGGCAGGGGGCGACAAACAGCTGCGAAGAGAAAGGTCACGTGGTCAGCAAAGGCCTCACTTGTGAGGGGTTCGTGCATTGGGGTGGGAGTCCCTGAAAGATGGGCCCAAGGACAACCTCCTGCACTGTCCTGGGAGAGCCCCGCAGGAGCACAGCCACGCTGCCTGCGCTCTGCACCAGCCTGCGGAGAAACCCAGGCTACCCGGGCTCAGGTACCGTTTGTCTCCTTGTGTCTGCTGTGACAGCACTTGCATCTGGCCTCCCCTGCGGCACTGGGGCTACTCTGGGGCAGCGGCCCCTCCGTGTGGCTGAGCACTGCGACCCTACATTCCCGGAGACCTGAGCAGGCCTGAGTCAGAGACCAGCCCGTAACCATAGCTGAAAGGCCAGCTGGACTGCCAGCTTATGGCGCCTCAGCTAATGGCCCTGAGAAAGCGGGTTTGTGTCTAGAGTCCCTCTAGCATGGTGGAGCCTGGGCACCAGGGCACAGACCGGACACTGGCTGGGGTGTTACCAGTGTCTGAAGGGAGCACCCAGCCAACAGCCTGCTCCCTTGTGGGACACAGAAAGGAAGCAGTGTCCCAGAGACGTAGCCCCGCAGACGCACAGCTCTGTCACAGGGAGTGACCCCATTTGCCAGACGCTCTCTGGAAGAACCCAAACGACTGGCCCCCAGCTCATGGGTCTCCAGGTGCTGACTTGGCCTCCCTGTGTCTTGGCTGCAGCTCCCAGATGAGGTGCTGGAGGGTCCCTCCCTCCCTCGGCTCAGGTCTCCTACAGCCCAGCTGCCCCTCCCGCTTTCTGCATGTTTTTCATGTCTCCTTTTTTTACCTGTTTTTCTCAGCTCTTTAGAAGACACAATTTCAGAGCAAGGCCTGGGCCAGGGTGCACAGAAGGCCAACACAGGCGCTTCCTGGGCACCTCTGCCAAGGCCTGAGCGCCAGGTCTGGTCTCGCCACAAGTACAGAGGAACGGAAGGTGTGGGAGGCGTCTGAGACAAAATGCGCAGATCTCTCCTGTGTGAGCCTCACCTTCCCTTACCACCTCACTGGGCCCAAGACGGCATCCCACTGCCACTGGGGACCCTGTAGGGCAGCTGTGCTGTCAGTCTGCCAAGTGCTCACCCCTGGCACTGTGGGACAGAGGGCAGGGAGAAACCGCTCTCACTAGCCAGCACAGCCTACATGGTGAGACAGCACCATGCTGCCTCGCACCTTCAGAGCACAGCCCCATAGCTGGGGGACTCCTTACCCAGCAAGGCTGTGCAGAGCTCTGTGTCAATGCGCCCGTCCTCAGTCAGGGCCCCAAACACCAGCCCATCGGCTCCATGCAGCTTGGCCAGGCGAATATCAGCCTTCATCACGTCCAGCTCCCGGTCAGTGTAGAGGAAATCCCCCCCGCGGGGGCGGATCATCACGAACACTGGGATCTGCACACACTGCTTCACCACCTGCAGGAGCCCTGCTGGGGCAGACAGAGGCAGAGCTCGCCCGGGGACGAGTGGGGCAGACACCCACCCTGCCTGCCACAGAGGCCTTCTAGCCCCCTCTCTCCCCTGCAGGGAAAGACTCCCCCGGGTCAGGGTGGGAAAGGACCTTTGACCCCCTTTGCCCTGAGACAGGCAGGAGTCCTGGGCCACCTGCCAGCAGGGCAGAGAAGAATGAGGGAGAAGGCGTGTGGAGGTGAGGTGCTGAAGGGACGGGGATGCAACTTCTAAGCCTGGATTACTGAGGCGCTGGCAGGCTCCCTGCCAAGCACAGGACATGCGATGCCTGCTCCCACATGGGCAGAGGCAAAGTTTGGACCCCCTGGACAGGCCTCCAAGAGGGTAAGAACTGGCTCTGATCACCAAGCAGACAGCCTGAGTCTTCCCCTTGCAGCCCTGGCCCCGCAGGACAAGCCCAGCCCTGGCACGCACTCCAGCAGGGTAGGCGCAGTGAGCAAGGAGCCTGGGGCACTCACCGATACTGGGCGTGGTTCCTCCTTCCAGCAGGCCAGCACAGAGCTCGATCCGGCCAGCACCTGGGCAAGAGATTGAGTAACAGTCCCTGACCTACTCAACAGGCCTAGCCGTGGGCCCAGGAAGGGAAGTGGGGCTTACAGAAAAGGGCCATTGGGGACAGCAACGAGGCGCCTGTAGAGCCAGGCCATGGGATCAAGAGCCGGGCAATACGCCAGGAGGCCAGAGGACTGTGCCAAACAGAGTCCCTGCCCTGCTCTCTACAGCACACCACCCCCAGCACGTGCTGGGCCCCAGGGCCCAGCGTCTCTCGGATCTCTGGGCTCTACGTCCCGGTTAGCTTGTGCGGGCTGATGCACACACCGACTGCTACATCTTCGCTGCATATTGCTAGTGCTACCCAGTCATAAACTCGACGGCCAGTCTGGCCCCTGGATCACACAGGAGTTTGGAAATAGTTCCTGTGTGAACTAGAGCAGAGCCGTTAAAAACACATCCGGAGTTTAAATGGCCGGTGATGGAGAATTCACCAGGACCCCTGGCAAATTATTCCAGTGGTAAAAATGTGTCTTATTTCCCATCTAGCTTCACCTTCCAGCCCTGGCCCAGGGCACTCCTCTGTCTGCTAGCTCAAAGGGCCCATTATTAAACATGTCTTTCCAGTGCAGATACTTCCAGATGGTTACCAAGTCACCCCTAAACCTTCTCTTGGTTAAGCTACCTAGATTCAGGCACGGTTTCTAGTCCTTCAGTCATTCTTGTGGCTCTTCCCTAACCTATCTCCAATTTCTCAACATACTTCTTGAGTTGCAGGAACCAGAACTGGGCCTAGGATCCCTGCAGCAGTCACGCTTTGTATCCATATCTATTGGACTGGGAGCTCCCTGGGGAAGGAGCTGTGTCTTCCCCAAGAGTCTGTATTACAAAGCCGAAGCTCCTGAGTGCTCAGCTGAAAAGACTGGAAACCCCTCTTTCAGGAGAGGGCTTGGCACCAGACAGGCCCCTGCCAGGGTTCATCACACTCAGGAGCAGGTCACGCTACAGCAGACTCCACGGAGTCGACACACACTTCCATCAGAAAGCCATCAGCCATTCCTAGGAGGGAAACACAGCAGGGAGCTCAAAGCAGCCACAGATCGGGGGCAGGGTTTGCCCTGGCAACCAACCCTTCTCTCTTCTATCTCCTGCCCCACCTGAGGTTTCCACTCATTGGTGGGTGGTTTTAGAGAGCTACTTCCTTGCAAGACTGTGCTACTTGTAGCAGGAACTGCTCCTATAATATATTTCTACCAGAAATAGCACAATCCTACAGGCTATTGTTTCTAAACAGAAAATCAAATGTTTAGAATTGCTACCCATTTACACTGGAGGGCTGTCACGTTATTGGATTTTAAGGGGAGGAGACAGATCACCCGGGGGGGTGTTTGCCCCAAAGTCTATACAAAGGGGGCCATGTGAGGTGTCAAATGAAAGCTCATGCTCTACTGATTCTGTGTCTGCCACTCATGTACATGTGGGATGTTTGTATGTGGAGTTATGAATATGGGCTCTGTGCTGATACTGGCCTGCACTGCCTGTTGTAAAGGAGGATTGTCCAGTGAATGATTATGCTAATTAGCAGGGCCAGAAGGACAATGGCTCTCAAGGTGCCCAATACACACCTGAGGACTGCATCTGGGAACATGCAAACCAGCCAGGGCATAAAGGCTGCCAGCATGTGAAACACAAACAGGCCACTTGACCATGTGACCTGCTGTGGCTGGGGGGGATGCCAGGAGAGATATATAAGTGCCATGAAGTGGACTCCATCTTGTCTTCAATCTTACTACTGATCCCAGATGCAGCCTTGCGAGGGACAGAGAGCCAGGAAGGATTATGGACCCTCCTGACACAGGATGTGCACCAGAGACTTTTAAGACAGCAGTTATAGCATCTCTGCTGAAAGCCTGCATCAAGACCTTGGTGACTGGTGCATGTAATGTATTCTCCATAGCAACCTTACTCTCATGCTTTACTTTATTAATAAACTTTTAGATTTTAGATTCTAAAGGATTGGCCCAGCGTGCTCTTGTGGGTAAGATCCAAAGTGTAAACTGACCGGGGATTTGTGGCTGGTTCTTTGGAACTGGAAAGACCCGTTCGAGGTAGGTGAGATTGGATTCTATAACCCCTCACCTGTGTTAGGTCCGGGGCCGATTGTGGCACAGGGAGAGCTGGGGTGTCACAGGGGTTTTGCTCATGAGGCTTCCTGCTGGCCAGACTGGCAGCTGGCGCACTTGTGTGGGACTGCTTTGTGGCCTAATTGGGAAAGGTCTCCAGTTTGGGGCTCTAAGGAGCCCTAGTTCTGAGCAATTTGTCCTGAGTGGACACCCTCAGCGGTGCCCAGATACAGCCTGGTCCATCCCAGAGGGGGTGTGCGACACATCACCTCCATATTGCTGCACATAAAACATTCATGGACCATCTCTGGCTGGGGTGGCAGGACGGTGTGGAGGGGTTCACGCATGGCAGTGGGTCAGGGCAAGAAGTTGGTGTGGAGACGCAGGGTCTTGCATTCTTAACCATCTTAGGGAATAGCCATTGATGGACCTAACCTCCAGGAAATGATATCATTCTTTTTTAAAACACTTTTGGCCTTTACAATATCCCCTGACAACCAATTCCAAACACAGAGGCTACGTCTACATTGGCAAGACTTTGCGCAAACACTTTTAACGCAAGAGTTTTTGCGTTAAAGTACAGTATTTGCACAAGAGAGCATCTACACTGGCATGTGCCTTTGCGCAAAAGCATCCGTGCCAGTGTAGACGCTCTCTTGCTGTCTACACTGGCCCTCTTGCACAAGAATACTTGTACAAGAGGGCTTATCCCTGAGCGGGAGCGTCGGAATATTTGCGCAAGAACCACTGATTTTGTACAGTACGAAGTCAGTATTCTTGTGCAAATACTTGCGGCCAGTCTAGACAGGTGGCAAGATTTTGTGCAAAATCAGCTGCTTTTGCACAAAATCTTGCCAATGTAGACACAGCCTGACTGTGCATTGTGTGAAGTACAATGGGAGTGACAGGAAGCTCCATCTCCGCAGCTTCCATTGGCCACAATTCCCAGGCAATGGGAGATGTCAGGGTGGGGGATGGGATAGTGCCAGGAAGTAAGTGTGGGGCCATGCTAACCCATCTGTTCTCCACCCCACAATGGGACCTGCCCCAGGTAGGTGCCCTGCACCCTAACTTTGTCCTTCCTTTTGTTTAAACCTGCTGGCTGGTAATTCCATCAAGCAACACCCAGTTTTTGTATTATGTGGTAGGCTAAACAGGCTCTTAGCTGCTGTCCTGCTAGTGCCCCAAATTATGGCAAAATTACTATACCCTGCCTTTCCTAAAACACCGGGGGAGGAGAGGCTCCGACTCCAAGTGGCAGCCTCCTCAGAAGCTAGGCACTTAATCTCCTCCCTGCTGGACTTTCCCAGGCAGGTGCTGTGCTGTGCTGCACTGGCTCCAGGTAATGTGCCATGGGGGAGGTGATGGACAGGGGGAGTCCAGGGGGCCAGAGCTAGGGGGCAGGTATAAGTCATCACAGGGGAGGCAGGCGGTCAGATGGAAAAGGTGTGTGCGAGGCCTCAAATCCTAAGGGTGGCCCTGATCATATCCTCCCCTTAATACCCTCTTTTCCAAGCTGAACAGTCCCAGGCTACGTCTAGACTGGCACGATTTTCCGCAACAAAGACTCTGGCTATCTTACCCATTATAAAGATAGCTTCCCCAATTATCACCTCTAATACCATTAGCTCACAGACATTTACCTCCCCCCCCCCCCACCCACAC